TTCATTGATCAGCATGGGTGAGCTGCTTAACAACTTGGAAGACATGGTAGGCCCTTGTGCTGCCGAGTGGCAAGAAGTTAAGATTGAACAAGTTCAGTCCATATGAGTTTGGATTTGTCACTAACCTTGTCTTGTGATTATGGTTATGACAACTTCACATGGATAGGAACACATACACCTTAAAATCTAAGTGTCATAAGGTTTCTCTCCGCTTCATGAAAATGATTGTCAGGAAACACTTTCACTAAGTAGATTTTAAAGAGTTATCAATTGTGATATTTGCATTCTCAAATTCGATTATGATTACGGCATCCTTCTTCATAGTTCGAATTGTGAGAAATGGAAAATAGTTTGAACATTCGGAACTTATTGTTGTAAGTTCTGAATAGTTTAGACACACATATGAGCTTTCTAATAAAGGGTGTATGAGCTTAGATAAAGGCTTATCAAAGCATCTCGTGTCAGAAATCTAAACTTTGGTAAGAAAGCCAATAAGTATTGATTTCTAGAAGTCCAGCTGATTTCTGGATACATGTCAAAGATAGTGGAAGCATAAGTGTTATGCTAGTAAGATAATAATTATTATGCTAGTGGGAGCATACTTATTATGGTAAGTGTTGCGAGTTAGCAATGTTAATTATAGAAAACAAAGGTTTCAATTTGCAAAGTTGCAGAGTTTGAAAAGTTGTTTTGCTATAATTAAGGGAGAGGAATTCATACTTCATTTCAAATCTAAAAGCTTAGATTGTGGGATTTTAATCAAATTTAGTCAAGGATATATATGAATGTTATGTTGGAATGGTTCAACATAAGGAAATTATATATATGGAAATGTTATAGCAAGATACTGGTAAAGTATCAGGTCTTTATGTAAGACATTATGAATCGTGTCCCATATGCTTCGGATATAGGATCGATTGCATGCGCTATAATATTCTCATTTTCTAGTTTTCCAAATGCCTAGGGCATTAAGATGGAAAAAGGACTAGAATCGGGTATGACTAAAGTTATTAAACAACTGTCAAGGACGATCTGAGGTGTACCAATGATTGGTTGCTTGTGGATAGTTGGAAGTATAGTAATGGATGGAGCATATTGACATGATTTTGAATATATAAGATTCTATTCAAATTGGATAGTCATATGGCAATTATGGAAAAGTTTCCATAATGGGAGTTGGATATCAAGAATCTATGAGTAAGTTAGAAACTTTTATGCAAGAAGGATGTTCAAAGGAACGTGCTTTGAATATGAGACTTCGTATCTATGTAATTGTCTTGTAACAATCTCCAATGGAAAGTTTTGTAATTGGCAAAGTCTCTGTGACTTGTGTACATAGTCGTTACAAAAGGATCACTGCATATAAGCTTAGAATCTAATGGATTACAGTAAGTGGCAAGGACTTGGTATTCTCACACTTACGATAAGGGTTTGGAATTGTGAAATGAGTGTCATTGGAAATGTTTACAATTGATATATTTCACAAAGTAAGGACCATAGGTAAACATAGTATGCATGCTTGGAGCATGGGATAACTATTGTTTTGATTCAAGTATTAAGTTGATTAATCGAAACATTATACAATGAATAATGTGTAATCAATATGGTGATTAAATAAAAGGTGTTTTATTTATATTCAAAAGTTTTGAGACCATATTGGATTCGATTATTCTTGTGTTTCACTTTGCATGTTTTGACTTCCCGAATAACAAGGTTTTTCAAACCATCCACAGTCAATCATACTTTGGAAGTAGGTATTGAAGCTAGACTGTCATGAATGGGTCTGTAGATTGTCTAAAGGCGTTTAGACATAGCACAAGTTTGTTGCAGTGTTCTTGAGTACTCTTGTAATAAGATTTGAGTATTGGATTAAACCCACGCTCATCTGAATCACTTCATGGATTTTATCACGAGTGATTGTGAGACGATAATATCTTATATTCTTGAAACCAAGACATGTGAGTTGTAGTTTACAAGTCGGTTGCACATTGATATATGTAAACGCACCAGTAACTTGGTGTTATAAAACATATTGTAGTGTGTGATTTGATGAGTAAGTACAAGCAAGCATTTGAGTCGAAGTTTATCCATTCCTTTTACCTAATGTGGGATAAAAGCGATATCTGTGGGCCCCTTGATGATTTAGTGATGACAACCCTAAGTGCTTGGCCAAGCCTGGACTGATTTGATTTGTTCAATTAGTCGGCCGTCATAAATTGGAAATCGGGAAACAACACATGAACAGAGAGAATGATTATAATCCATGTCTCAGTTCATACGATATCTAGAATGGAGGAATATATGATCCCTTATTTAATGGACGCGTTATTGACTAGGTCAGAGTTCGACATCGGCTTTTTGGAGTCGTACTTGCAATAATAGTTATTAGACTTATCCAAGTGGGAGATTGTTGGATTAGGTGTCTAAGCCCATAACTATAGTTGGTATGTACTCGAACCGATAGTAGCATGGTCCATTTGGGTTGCCTTCACCAGAACAATCTGATAGGATGGATATTTGAGAAAGAGGTTATTTATGATTTATTAATATATTACAAGTATAATATATTAATTGTGAAATCATATTATTTAATTAGTACTGATCAAGAATTAATTTGGAATTAATTTAGTGATCAAAAGAGACTAATTAAATTAATGGGGGTTGATTATGTAAATAAGTGATATATATAGTGTTTGGGCTATTGATGATGTTGGACTAAGTTTTATGTAAGTATCCATGAAGAGTTAGCCCACATGAGATATGGATCATAACCTAAGTGTGTGGATTAGGGTTTACCCATGACTCTTGGAATCCTACACTATATAAATGTTACCCGTTAGCCAAAATCGACACACCTAAGTATTCTAAGAGAATCATAACCGATTTTGGAGTGTCTAGCCTCTCTCTCAAAGTCCTCCTTTGTTCATGGTGTTTGTGAACCATTTGAGGCATCACACTTGAGGTGCTAAGCTCTTGAAAGGCCAAAACTACAAGCTACAATAAAGAGGTATTCTTCTAACTTGATTTTATGATTCATGTACCAAAATTGTATGCTAGTTGTAGGCTTCATGCTTTGGAATTTTATTGCATGTATGATTGGAGAAAGCTTAGATCCAAAGCTATTAGGTTTGTATGTGCACCATAGCAGTGTTATAGTACACAAAACCCAACAGATACTGGGTTGACGGCTCGACTAGCGCCATTTCTTACCCGTATCTTGCGGGATGATAGCGGTCTTGAGCTTTTCGTTTTTCATGTTTGGCAGCGGGTTATTGGGGTTCGGGAGGTGATCTACAAGGAGCTCTGTTGGGAGTTCTTTTCAACAGTCCGCTTTGACAAGGTGTAGATGTAATGGGCTGATCCATCAGGTTTTACATTTTGCCTTGGAGGTGTATCCCACTCCTGCAGCTTGATCGAGCTGGTGAGGCGTCTAGGGATCTACACTATTGAGGAGACTCTGAGCCCTCATTTTTTTGCTTATGTTGACAGTTGTATTACTGCACCACCATAAGAGTACAGTTACATGCAGGTCTGGGCCCATGCTCGGGGGACTTATGTCTCCAGGACGGCCAAGGAAAGCGCCTTCCGTTCTCCTATATATCGGTTGATTCATCAATTGGTAGCTTCCACCATTTGTTACAGACAAGAGTGTGACAAGGTTCCTTCGGGCGACCTCTTCAACATGTGGTGCCTCGTTCAGACGGAGGTTTGCCTTCATCTTCCTTTTGCTATTGCTTTCTACTTATGTAGCATGTTTCTAGGGTCCACACCTTCGAGCATGATCTACGGGGGTCATTGGGTTAATAGTTTGGCCTTATCCTATGAGGTCGATACTAGTGGGATGGTCTCTATGCCTATCCAAGAGTTGGGTACTACCGCTCTCGGGAAGATGTGGGTGTTGGTTCAGGGAGTAGGGTAGTCGTGGAGGATTCCAGAGGATGATATCGTGGAGCCAGTTAAGCAGGTGGAGTCGGAGGACATCCATGCGCCTGCCTTTGTGAGGCTTCATAGGCCTAGGTATGCGGAGCTTGTTCAGGTAGATTCGAATCTACGTGATGTGATGCAGTATCTGATTGCTGCACATGAGGAGCGTCGCTGGATTATGGCTTCGGTCACTGCGGTGATGCGGCATCTGGGGATGGACCATCCACCTTTTCCTAGGGCGGGTCCTTTTGTTCCACCCCCTTCTTAGTCGTAGGGTGCCCGATCTGATGGGTTTTGAGCATTCTAACACTCCTAAGGTGTACATGCAACCCTAAATACATTGGATCTATGTTTTCTCTATTATACATGCAAGCTTGAACTTTCCAAGGTAATACCCTAACTAGCATACATAACTTTGATACAAGGGTAATAAAACAAGTAAGATGACATACCTTTTGTTGTATTTGGAAGCCTTGGAGTATTTGGCCTTTAAGAACTTAGCACCAATAGTGTGGATACCTCAAGTGGAATCACAACACACCATGGACAAAGAATGACATTTTGAGAGAGCATCTTCATGCACCAAAACCGTCCGCATGAACACCAACACTACTAGAAAACAGCCTTTTAATGACGCGCAAACAATGACACGCGCTGATAGAGGACGCGCATTTGTGTGTGCCCTAAAAAATAATGTCAGCTTTGCAAAATGTGAAGGATAGAGGAGACGCATTTTTGCGTGCCCTAAAATTAATGTCCAAAAAAAACACGGAGGGCACCTACCATAAAAAGTGTGTCGTGTAAAGATGTCGCTTTATAAATTTTTTTAGGAAGGCGCGTTCTCGCTTTTTTTTAATCGGCGATGGTGGGAAATGAAATCCCAAAAAATTAAACACCCGCCTAATGCTTCTCTCCTTCTACAATCCTCTAACAAAGAACCCTAATTCTATTCTGAGGCTGTCAATCCTTTTGAAGCAGCCCGTCTTCCTGTACCTTGATCTGCACTCTCTCTCCCTTCTCTTTGCAAGCCCTAAGCCGCCATCACCAGCGTCGAAACCCATCAGCTCTAAGCGGCCATGGATTCTGTAAAGAGTGTTTGTCTCGTATGTTTTTATCAGCGCCATCAGACACTACTCTTCTATATCCACGATGTCGCCAAGTCTCCGTTTGTTTTCATCAGCGCCATTCGACGAAAAGAACTAGGGCTTTGAACCACATCTCAATAAATTGTTCAGAGAGATCCAGCAGCTCCTCTCACTCAAAACACCTTCGATTGAAGGTTATGTGACTCCTTACAGCAGCGCCATTCGATTGAAGCTATTTTAGCAGACACCGATCGCCTTCAATCCAAACTCCAATCAGAAATGGCATCTCGCATGTCTTCTCAGCTCTCCACTCCTCCATTTCGCTGGGGCCCTGGTACCTTCAATTTCAAATTGCACTTCATCTGAAGCTTGTTGATTTCTTTTGGATCCGAATTCAAATTCTGTGTTCTTCTTTGGCAATTTGGAGGTGGAATTCAGGTTGTATTACATGAGAGTAGAGGAAGGGAAACAATATCCAGTACTCTGTAGGAGATTAGCTAGCCTAAACGAAGAGTTCATTTCACATAAAAGTCCAACAGGTGGGTTCGATTTCATCTCCGGGAAGAGGATTGAACAAAAACTCATCGATTACAATCAAGAAGTAGAAAGATTTGGGGGTAATTCCAATTCCAGTATCATTTCAACATCTCTCAACGATCTCTAATTCTCTTCCACTTCATTTAATTTATTAACATGACTTGATTTAGGTTATGCATATGAAGAGGTATCAGAAGTCTCACCTGATCATCGATTCATTGCATACACCATGTATGATAAAGACAACGATTTCTTCAAATTATGTGTTAGAGATTTGAATTTAGGTTCTCTCTGTAGTAAGCCACAAGCTGATTGGGTCTGTAATGTGGCATGGGCTAAAGGGGGTCAAGCATTGCTATATGTTGTCACTGATCAAAAAAAGAAGCCCTACAGGTATCCTATATAATTATATACAACTTTTTCTAATTTCTATATCTCATATTTAATTTAAACTTTGTATTTTTCTTGTATGATTTTAGGATATATTGTAGCATGCTTGGATCAAAGGATGAAGATGTGATACTCTTAGAAGAACCTGAAGAAAATGTGCATTTTAACATCAGACATACAAAGGATTTTAAGTTTGTGACTGTTTATGTGTTTTCAACCACATATTCAAAGGTATTTTTATACTCTTTATGGCTTTCAATTCTTTTATTTCATTTATTTTTCTTTCAAGAATCATTCAAACTTCAAATTCTTTAGGTTTTTCTGATCAATGCAACTGATCCTCTATCTGGTTTAACATTCGTGTGGGAATGTGAAGCTTGTGCACATTGCATTATCGAGTACTTTCATAGCAATGATAATCATGTGATTGCTGGTGCATTGTTAGGAGTTGGGGTTGTAAACTGTGGTATCAAGAATGATTGTGACCCTGTGAGTGCTTAATTTGCTTTTTTGTTTCTGACCTGTTGTTGTTGGTTGTTGGTTGTGATTTTATTTTGGGTTGGGTTGTTTCAGGTGTTGGCACTTTTTGCTGATTACAATCCTAATCCCAATGACGATTTTACCTAAACGCCCCTCCATGTTATTTCATCAGTAATGTAGGATGTTAAATTGTTTTTTTTTCGTGACTCTCTAGCATGACTTTGACTAGCTTTGGCAGGATCTTTATGGATATGGTCACCTGATGATAATGGCTGATCAGGTAATTTTCCAAATTCTTTACATAACACATGTTTAAAATTCAAGAAATATCAAATACAAAGCCATTTATTGTGTGAACTACACATTATCCACGACTGAAATGCCATTTTATTGAAAAGATTCATTTTTTTTTTGTAGGATCATGATGGATCACATATCAAAGGACTGTTGATCAACTTCTTGCACTCATTTTGGCCATCTTTACTAAAAGTCCTTGAGTTTTTACTAGAGTTCATCACTCCAATTGTTAAGGCTACTCAAAAGAACAGTAATAATGTTATATCTTTCTATAATATGCCTGAGTATGAGGCATGGAAGGACAGTCTAGGGCGCAGAGCAAAATATTTCAAAATAAAATCGTTTCTTGTGAAGTTTTTTGTGTTTTATTACAGTTTCTTTGAATTTATTCTTGCATTTACCCCATTTAGTAAATGATAATTTATTTACTTTTCTTTATACAGGATGGGATATATTTTGATTCAAATGAGAAACATATCCCATATCTTGATTTCATCAACAAGGAGCTTATCTTATTTTCAATGGCTGATCTTCAAAGATCAATCCCATCAACGGTGGGTGGATTAAAACCAAGTCAATGAAAGATTCTTTTTTGCGCTTTCAAAAAACCCATTTTCCAAGAAGTAAAAGTGGCTCAATTCAGTAGTTATGTATCTGAACACTCAGCATATCACCATGGTGAACAAAGTCTTGTGGGCACCATCATTGGCATGGCCCAAAACTTTGTTGGCAGCAATAACATCAACCTTCTTTACCCAAGTGGCCAATTTGGTACATGTCAGATGGTAAGATTCATAAAATATAAAATATAAAACTTTGTTCCTTTTTCTTTATCTACATATTTAAAAATATAAGAGTACATTACACGAATGGTAGGGTAATTTATGCGTTTGGTAAGATAGGGACCAAGGTTGGAGTACTTGAGTGAAGATGGACAATCCGTTGAGCCTACTTGGTATCTTCCAATTATACCCATGGTTTTGGTGAATGGAAGTGAAGGAATAGGGACAAGGTGGAGTACTTTTATACCAAATTATAACCCTAGGGACATTATTGCAAATCTGAAACGTTTATTGAATAGGGAAGAAATGGTGCCAATGAATCCATGGTATAAATGGTTCAGAGGAACAATTCAGAAAACAGCATCAAAGGACACTGGATACACAACCATTGGAATTGTTGAGGAATTGAAGATGAGGACGAAAATACCCTCCGCATCACTGAGTTTCCAGTTAGAAGGTGGACACAGGAGTATAAGGAGTTTTTGGTGGTTGCTTCAACTGCTGTAAAAGATAAGGAACCTTTCATAGAGGTAGATTATTATACATAATTATAATATCCTTCCTTTTAAGGTTTTTGATGTTTTTTATGTTGTAAATTTTCAGGAATACAATGCTCATAATGACGACACAACAGTTAATTTTCAAATAATAATGACTGCTGATCAAATGAGCAAAGCAAGACAAGAAGGGCTGTTGAAGAAATTTAAACTTACTACTACTTTAAGCACAAGTAACATGCACTTGTTTGATGCTCAATCATAGACAAAGCCATAGTAAATATTCATTATAATTTATATGCATGAGTGGTCTGTGGATAATCAATCGTGTTTTATTAGTTAGCACTTACCTTAAGTTGTGGTCTGTGTTTTATGCTGCAAGAAAGCCTTTAGTAGCAGCTATAGATGGGCCTGCTTTTGGTGGTGGACTAGAGATAACACTGGTAAGAAACATGATTCACCTTCACCTTCCTTTCATTTCAAATGACAACTCTTTTTTTTTTAATGCTTTAATTTGTTTGTTAGGCATGTCTTCCACGCCTTGTTGGCCTTCCTAAGGCTCTGGAGATGATACTGGTATGCTACATATGTTTGTTGCTTCTTTAATCATGTGTTAGATGAACTGATCCCACTCTCTCTCTCTCTCTCAAATAATAGATGTCAAAACGAGTAAATGGGAAGGATGCTTTTAGTATGTCCCTTGTTGATGTTGTAGCCCCTGCTGAGGAACTAATCAGAAGTGCATCTAGATGGGGTTTGGATATTTCAGAAGCTAGAAAACCATGGATTCGTAGCCTTTACAGAACCGACAGACTAGAAGCATTAAAAGAAGCAAGGTTAATACTCAACACGGCAAGAGACGAAGCACAAAAACAGAACCCTTTCTTATACTAACAGTTAATGTTGATGAGATCATGACTTGTTAAAAGCAGTTACAGATTTCAGGTATAACTGATATGGGGTTGCAGCCAAGGAAAGTAAATAGAGTTGGTGTTATTGGTCCGGGGTCAATAGCAATAGCAACAGCTTTTATCCTTGCTAACTTTCCTGTAATATTTAAGGAGGATGATGAGAATTCTCTGGAGGCTGCACTCGGTGAAATCAAAGGTGAGTCATGATATGAGCTTAAAAAGTATGGTCACAACTCACAACTCTTACTTGGTTATCTTCATCTTCAGCCAATTTGCACAGACATCTTATGGCAGGGAAAATGACCAAGGAGAAGCTTGAAAGAACTGTATCTCTGTTGAAAGGGTACTCAGTTATGATAGCTTCAAACATGTGGATTTAGTTGTAGAGGTGAGTGTGAGTCCCAACTATATAATTCATCTGTTACAACAAGGGTTTTGGCAGATAAGTCCCTGAAAAAGGTAAAGTTTTTTAAATATTATTTTAGCTACTTTTCTTTTAATTACAAAAAAAAATATTTATTTGTTGTGTTGGCACTTGGCAGGTCCTGTTAACAATATTGTTGTTATGCGACAACCAGGTATCAAAGGAATGTGGTCACTGTGGAGCTACAAGTTATCAAAAATTTATTTGATTTTTTAAAATTTTTCATTTTTAGGCCTCTGTGGAGCTACAAGGTATCAAAGGAATGTGGTCACTAAGATCAGCAACAGACGACATTTATGACACATTTTTGGTTGTCAGCTTCATTAGTGAGACTCGAATATTGGCAGTGAATTTAGAGGATGAATTAGAGGAAACTGAGATTGAAGGTTTTTGCTCTCAAGTACAAACATTATTCTGTCATGATGCTATCTGTAATCAACTTGTTCAGGTATAATTATCTAAATATTTTGCTATTATATTTATACCCCATTTAATTAAATTTTCATTCTTTCAGGTTACCTCAAGCTCAGTGAGACTGGTGAGTTCAAGTTCAGGAGAGCTACGAAACGAATGGCATGCACCCAATGACTACTCTATAAATGTTGCCACTGTTAACGCTACTCCGGTATAACCAAGGGTATTTTGGTCTTTTAATAAATAAGTTTGACTAACCTTTTTTAATTTCCATAACAAGTGCTATTGACTACTAGAGGTGGCCATCTGGTTTACCTTGAAATTGGTGATGGTGTTTTAGTAGAAAAAAAGCACGCAGAACTGAAATATGATATCTCATGTCTTGACATAAACCCCATTGGTGAAAATCCAAATTATAGTAATCTTGCTGTAGTTGGGATGTGGACTGTATTAGTGTCAAGATATTTTCACTACCCGATTTAAATCTCATCACTGAAGAACATCTAGGTGGCGAAATAATACCACGTTCTGTTCTTCTTTGTGCCTTTGAAGGGGTATGATTCTCATCTCATCTTTATCTTTATCTTCATCTATGAGGGCAAATTTGTAAAAAGTGTTTAATGTTTAATTACAGATACCTTAGTTGTTGTGTGCACTTGGGGATGGACATCTTTTGAACTTTTTACTGAACACAAGTACAGGGGAATTAACAGACAGGAAAAAGGTGTCACTTGGGAAAGAATTAAGAATGTTGTCACAGGCTGCAAGAGATGCTGGAGCCCTTAGAGAAGCTAAGGACAAACTGGAGAAGTGATTCGAAGAGCTGACATGGAGATTAGACTTTGAAAAGCATTTGAGGGTATATTTTTTTTTATATTTCTTGTATCTAATTAGTTTGTAAATTTTTGTTACAACTTCTGTTGATTTGTTTTATCTTTCCATGGAACGATTATTTGTATGATATTAAATTTTATGCAATGGATTGTATTTTTTGTATATGATATTTTATTTTCTATTATGAGACATTAAATACAAATTTAATTTGAAAATTAGTAAATCTATAAATAATATTTTTTTTAAACATTTAAAATTATGATACGCAAAAATGTGTGTCATCTTCATTTATGACATGGCCTTTCTTGACAGGGGCTTTAATGATACGCAATGCGTGTCGTAAACGCGCTTCGTAAATGCGTGTCGTAATTATGCGTCGTAAATGCACGTCATAAATAGACTACGCGCAAAAGCGTGTCGTCTCTCGTTATGACAGGGCCTTTCTTGACACGCATTTGCGCGTCGTCTGAGCGTTTTACGACACGCATTGCGCGTCGTAAAAGGCTATTTTTCTAGTAGTGCAAGAATACATGAGTGGTGATTTTGGCTATGGAGTAACATATTTATATGTGGGATTCCAAAGGTCATGGGTTAACCCTAATCCATACCCATGGGTTTATGATCCATGGTTCATGTGGCCCTACTCTTTATGTATCCATACAAAAAGTTAGTCCAACATGGATCATAAGCCCAACATATAAATATAACTAATTTACATAATTAGACCCCATTGATTTAATTAGTCTCTTTTGATCACTAAATTAATTCCAAACTAATTCTTGATCAATACTAATTAAATCATATGATTTTATATTAATATATTAGAACTTATAATATATTAATAAACCATAAATAACCTCTTCTCAAAAGTCCATCCTAACAAATTGTCTTGATGATATGCAACCCAAATGGACCATGCTACTCTTGGGTCAAGTACATACCAATTATAGTTATGGGCTTACACACCTAATCCAACAGTCTCCCACTTGGATAAGTCTAATAATTATTATTGCAAGTAAGACTCCAAAATCCCGACTAGCAATCGTAACTCTTAAAAGACGTTGTCGAACTCTGACCTAGTCAATGATGCATCCAATAGATAAGGGATCATTTATTCCTCCATTCTACAAGATATCATATGGACTGAGACATGGATTATAGTCATTCTCTCTATCCATTTGTTGTTTCCCGATTTCCGATTTATGACGACTGACAAATTGAACAAATCAAATCAGTCCAGGCCCGGCCGAGCACTTAGGGTTGTCATCACTAAATCATCGAGGGGCCCACAGATATCACTTTTATCCCTATAAGGGTAAAAGGAATGGATAAACTTCGACTCATATGCTTGCTCTATTTACTCATCAAATCACACACAATGATGCGTTTTATAACACCAAGTTACTGGTGCGTTTTCACATCATCAATGTGCAACCCACTTGTAAAGTGCAACTCATATCTCTTATTCCAGGAGCACTCATGAACACTGTAGCTATGTCCTAGACAAACTACAGACTCATTCATGACAGTCTTGCCTCAATACCTACTTCTAAAGTATGATCGACTGTGGATGGTTTGAAAAACCTAGTTATTCGAGAAGTGAAAACATGCAAAGTGAAACATAATAATACTAATCCTATATGGCCCAAAAACTTTTGAGTCATATTGATTACTCATATTCATTGTATAATGTTTCGAATAATCAACTTAATACTTGAATTAGAAACAATACTCATGCCATGCTCCAAGCATGCACACTATGTTTGTCTAAACAATAGCTATGCCATGCATGCACAGTATGTTTGTCTATGGTCCTTACTTTGTGAAATAGATCAATTGACAATATTTCAATGATGCTCATTTCACGATCCCAAATCCTTACCGTAAACGTAAGAATATCAAATTCTTGCCATTTATTGTAATCTGTTAGATTCTAAACTTATATGCAATGATCCTTTTGTAATGACTATGCACAAAAGTCACAGAGACTTGGCAACAGACATTACAAAGTATTCCAATGGAGAGCAATTCCATGGAAACGAGGTCTCACATTCAAAGTACATTCCTTTGAACATCCTTCTTGCATTGAGTTTTCTAATCTTATACATATTTAAAGAATGACTTCAACTTATGGAAACATTTCCATATTCCCATTTTGACTATCACTTCTAAATAAGAGTTGTCTCTTTTCAGAATATGTCAATATGGTCCTTTCCAAAATTTTACACCATACTTCCAAGTGTCCATGAGCAACCAATCTTTGGTAAACCTCAGATTGTCCTCGACAATTGCTTAACCATTTTAGTTATATCCGGTTCTAGACCTTTTTCCCTCTTAATGCCCTAGGCATTTGGAAAAATAGAATGGATGAATATTATAGCACATGTAATCGATCCTATACCGAAGCATATAGGACACGATTCATGATGTCTTACATAAAACATGATACTTGACCAGTCTTTGCTATAATATTTCTATTTGCCATGTTCTCATAATTCGAAATATGAAAAGGGATACCGTAATCATAGTCGAATTTTGAGAACGCAATTATCATTTCCATATATAGAATTTCCTTATGTTGAACCATTCCAACATAACATTCATATATATGCTTGACTAAATTTGATTAAAATCTCAATCTAAGCTTTTAGAATTGAAATGAAGTATGAATTCCTCTCCCTTAATTATAGCAAAACAACTTTTCAAACCCTGCAACTTGCAAATTGAAACATTTGTTTTCTATAATTAACATTGCTAACTTGCAACATTCATCATAATTGATCATGCTCCCACTAGCATAATAATCATTACTTTTACTAGCATAACATTTATGCTCCCACTAGCTTTGACATGTACCCAGAAATCAGTTGGACTTCTAGAAATCAATACTTATTGACTTTCATTACCAAAGTTCAGATTTTTGATACAAGATGTTTTGATAAGACTTTATCTAGGCTTCTCAAACTCATACACCTTTCCTTAGATAACTCACATGTGTGTCTAAACAATTTAAGAACTTACAACAATAAGTCTCAAATGTTTAGACTTTTTGTCATTCCTCACAATTCGAATTATGAAAAGGTATGCCATAATCATAATCAAATTTGAGAATGCAAATATCATAACTGCTATCTACTTAAAATCTACTTAGTGAAAGCGTTTCCTCACCATCATTTTCATGAATCGGAGAGAAACCTTATGACACTTAGATTTTATGGTGTATGTGTTCCTATCCATGTGAATTTGTCAAAACCATAATCACAAGACATGATTAGTGACAAATCCAAACCCATATGGACTGAACTTGTTCAATCTTAATTTCTTGGCACTCGGCAGCACAAGGGCCTACCATTGCTTCCAAGTTGTTATGTAAACAGCTGAGATCATATAGAACTCACATGCATAGTCAACTTTAACTGGAATGGGCACAGAAACAAGAATATGTCAACACGATAGGTTACAAACCTCAAGTCGTGTGCTAGTGATAAACAATAGGTTTTCTTCTCGATTAGTTCTTGAAACTTGTCAAGATCTTTAAGACTCCCACTGACCTCTTGACATATAAGATTCTCTGTCAAGAACCATTCCTTGAAAAAAAAATCAAGAGTTATTGCGGATTCTTATCAAGACAAACACTTCACATAATTGGCCTTAGTTGGTCTTTGTTCTATCCAAAACATCACAACTTACCAATTTCAAATGTACAAGAGTAGAAAACATTTTACTCTACATTTGATAAGTGTTATAAACCTTTCCTAAGATTATGTCACTCAAGGCACAATCTTGAAGTATGATTCTAAGACTTGTTTTGGAACGAAGAATGACTCATCTTGTTGATTTAACCATTTCAACAATTCACGATTCCTCTTCTTAGCCATACAAATGCACCAAGATATCCTTAGAGGATCAATTGTGACATGGTTTTCATAATCATTAAGATGATCATAAAACATGATACTCTAGTACTCTCCCATCTTTTCAGATTGGAGAAACTTTTATCTTTTTGCCCAATTTGATTCTTCTCATTCGTTCTTCCATACATTGAAACTTTTCCAATGTTTCAGAATTATACTTAAACTTGTAAGCATAACCATATTTACTAAACTTTAGTAAATCATGACAAATGGTCTTATCGTTCTCTGTGGTGGACCTGACCAGCGCACACCCAGTGTACCCGATCCCCTAGTCCTTCACTTGACTCACATAAACATGTGAACAAAGAATTAGTCTTAATTTCCCAAAGATAAAGGTTCTCATTCATCACATAATACAAGTTGCATGATTCCAAGTTTCTATCCAACTGAAACTTGGGTGATGAGAATCTTTCCTTATTTGGGAAATTCTCGACACTACCACAAACGAAAGAATCAAATCCATTTTCCTAATATTGCTATCAATGGAATCTTATAAGCAACAAATTTTCACAAATGCCATTGTAAGGAAATTTTTAAAAATAAGATAAATTTCAAAAAAATAATTCTTTATTTATAAAAATTACGGAAACTTATCCTTACAATGCAAATACAAGTGAAAATATGTTGTTATCTATTCCTAAGCAATCTATCATAACTCTTAAGCAGCAGCTTACAAATCTGATCATCGAGCCATGCGATCCAAATCCATCTCTTCGCGATCAGACTCATCATACTCTTCCTTTAAGCTTCCTTTCATTTCTTCAATTCTTCAAAACATCAAAATGTAATTACATTACATCATGTATTAAGAATCTCCAAATAGGAACTTTAATAGAGTTAGACAATAGATTTTACCTGAAGTAGAGTCAAACGTTTTGACTTTACCATCCTTGGA